GTCCCACATGGCTAAAAAAGTGAAACCAGGGAGTAGGGAGACGGCTCAGTCAGTAAAGTGCTGATTTCACAGCATGAGTTCAGATCCCCAGAACCCTGTAAAAGTCAAACACAACTATACCACCTTTAATCCAGCACTGGGGGAGTAGAGATAGGAAGAGCCCTGGACTTGACTGGCCAGCTCATCTAGCCAAATAGATAAGCCCCAGATGCAGTGAGAGACCCTGCCTCAAGAACTAAAGTGGAAAGCAATTGAGCATAGCACCCAATGTCAACCTCCAGAAGCGGGCACATACCACAAACACACACGAACATGCACACACATGAGCACACACCTATAACGTTGAACCTATTAATGTATCAAAGGTCTTTTATGTAAAAAGTAACTTTTCATAACAGCCTGGGAAAAAATAATCCACCTAGTAGGTCTACAACAGCATAACCTGATCTATAAAAAGTGTAAGAGATAAATAAATAAATGTAGTTAAAGTGATGGCATTGTCCAGCAGGGAGGGATCCCACTTTGCATAATGATCACTGCTGCCCTCTAGTGCCACAAGCAAACATGAGTTTAGAAACCAGAAGGACAGTCTGGTCATATCTGGTAGGCTACCTATAACAAAACAATCTGAGAAGATGCAGGAGATGGGACTTATATTGGGTTTGGAAGACAATAGCACCCGAGGAAGCAAAGTTTCCACTACGGAACATTGTCACTGTGAACTGCAAACCAGCTGTTGTCCTCTAGCCAGTTCGAGTTTTCCATGCTACTAAACAAACAGGTAAAGAAAGGGTTGGTGGCATTGGCCAGGGTAATTCAATAGCTGTTACTACTCGGTCATAACAAAGACAGTAGCATCTCCTTGGATAGTCCTTCAGGTCTATGTATAACCAATCTATTATTTGCTCTTCTATTACAAGGGTCCTGGTGGTTCCTCTGCACCTGCCCATACCTTTTTAGTAAATAGTTCCTTAATTAAATCCTCAAATTTCTGCTTTTGGCTGGGTATGGTGGTAATACTTTTAATCCCATGACTCAAAGGCAGAAAAAAAAAAAAAAAAAAAAAAAAGCAGATCCATCATCAGTTCAAGGCCAGCCTGGTCTACAGAGCAAATTCCAGGACAGCCAGGACCACACCAAGAAATTCGGTCTTGAAAAACAAAATTATTCTGCTTTGACTGTGCCATCTGTTTCTCGTTGCAACCCTATTTAATATTTCAGATACCAGAGGCACAGCCTTGTACAAAATAGAAAAAGAAATCCGCCTCTCACATAACAATTGGATGAGAGGCACCAAAATAAAATAAGGAAAACTAGAGATGAGAACTATCTGAAAAGGTGACAGATGACAAGGGTAGCAGACCTTACTAAATGAGATGCTGACAGCCTGCAATTGTTACAGAGCATTCTCTAACTGTGGGTCCATGTGGGGTCCATGTGGGTCCATGTGGAGTAGCAGTCTATAAGGACTAAGTTGCATTCAAAGTCCTACCAAGCATTATGCCTTTCCCTTTAGAGAGAGTGGTTTGAGAAAGAGTTGTGTCCCTGTCTCTGGAAGCAGCAGTCAATGCTGTAACATGTCACATAGTATTGCATCACATTTCTCCCATCCCAGTTGTTTTAATTCATCCTGTCTGCAGACTTGCTCCTGTCCCAGTGTTACAAATTTAATCTCTAGAAGTGGAGGGAGGTTGGGATGGCATTAGAGAACGGGATTGTTCATAAAGTATCCTCTGCAGTGGATCAATAGCTCCACATCTCAATAACCCTGGACTCCCTAGAAATTCTGCTTGGTAGAAGGCCCCCTGAATTTTTGTCGGATTTATTTCTCACCCTCTACCATACAAAGGACCCACCAATACACTTGGAGTATGTTGTGGAATAATCTTTTTGTACACTATAAAGATGTGTCTTTGTCAAAGCACCTTCTGATTGGTTTAATAAAGAGCTGAATGGCCAATAGCTAGGCAGGAAGAGGTTAGGTGGGACTTCTTGGCAGAGAGAGAGGAAATGAATCAAGGTGCAGAGAGAAGCCAGAGGACACCAAGAGGAAACATGAGGTACAGGATGGGAGAGGTTAAAAGCCTCGAGGCTAAATGTAGATTGACATAAATGGGTTAATTTAAGTTGTAAGAACTAATAGGACAAAGGTAAGCTATAGGCCAACCTTTCATATTTAATAATAGTAAGTCTGTCATCTTTTGTGAGCTGATGGCCCAAATAAAAATCTGTCTACAGGAGTACGTTTGACGTGTTGTTCACCTAGTGCAATCAGTTTGATATCATCAGTGTTATCAACTGGCTTGAAGTCAAGAGGAAAGGTGTTCACAAAGTGTGACTAACAGCATCATGACACAGGGCTGAGGTAAGAAAGTGAAGGTGTACTGCTAACCTTGTCAGCTGCAAGCTGCCTCTGGGGGACTGTACTAAGAGGTATAAAGGGACAGCCTTTGCCAGTGGCACAGCTGCATGTCAGGCACTTGACATGTTAATTTCCTGAAGCAATGAAACCACACCTGCAATTGGAGTCACTACCTCAATAAACTTAGACTAATGCTCTCAAAGATCTGCTCTCTGCACAGGCCAAATGGTGAACTGAGTGAGGATGTGGGCTGGATCCCAACCTGCATCCTTCAAGCTTTTAGTGGTGTCACTCATCTCTGCAATTGCTCCCAAAACGGGGTGTTGCTTTCAACTTACTTAAGAATATATGATCTTATATTTGTGGCAGCTGTAAGTCTGAGATGAAGACATAAATGAGCAGAGTCACGCTCCTTCTGACAGTGCTGGGGAAGGGTCCACCCCAGGCCTATCTCTAAGCTCCTGGTAGCTTGCTGATACTTTAGTTTGTGACAACCTAATTCCAATCTTTACATGATTTTCTCTCTGCATGTGCATTTATGACATGAGTTGTAATGTTCAATTGCCAACTTGAGAGGTATGAAAACTTCCTGGATTAGTAAAACATACCTTGGTAGTATCTTGGTTAAGTCCTTGATAGATTCAAAATATATTATTGGGAGATGGTTAAAGATAAAAGGTGGATACCTAGTTAAGAGAAAGGTCACTGATGATGTAGCCTTGAGGGCTTCATCTTTTCCTGGCCTTCCTACATGGTTTTTGGGTTTTTTTTTGTTTGTTTGTTTGTTTTTGTTTTGTTTTGTTTTTGCCTCTTGGCCATGATATAAATGCATCTACTCTGCCATGCCCTCCCGGCCCTCTGATACCATAAGGCAAAAACCTTTCCTTCTTGAATTATGTCAGGTACTGTCACAAAAATAGGAAAGCCAACAAACTAGTCACTAGTAGCTCTTCTACTCCAGTATGACTTCATGCTGACTTAACAAGTTGCATTTCTAAGACTATGATTTCTAAGACTATGATTTGAGTCATACATTTTCTGTGTTCATCTTCACTCCAACCCTGTCCCTAGCACCCATCATTTCTAACATGTATATTGCCATCTTCCACAAGGAAGATTGCAGTCTACAAGCTCAATGCCCGACCCCCATAGTGCAGTATCCATATAACAGCCCCTGTTGAGATACCTGAGGCAGTTCTTGGAGAGACCATTCTAGTGACTTCTACTTGGCTTCTCCTACCCTAAGAGGCCCCATTCCACAAGTCAGGGAACCTGTGTAGCAATTCCTCCAGTTTCTCCATATGTCTAATCGAGAATTACAGATGAGGAAAACACAGGATAGATGCCCTGTGATGGATAATCACTGAGATGGCTCTGAGCTGAAACTTCATTGGTTACCTAACTTCAACAAGCCCCTACTCTGTGGCAAGCACATCACAATGATGGTCAGGAATTCACGTGGGTTCAGAAATGGCCATCAGCAACCCTCTAAACATCTGGCTGTTTCTTTCTTCCCTGTTCACACCCACCTTAGTCAACAGCTATCGATCCTGCTGAAAGACTAAGAGAAAGTTAAACAGGATAAAAGCTTAGCAGGACAGCAGGCTCCTTGCTCAAGCAGATCATTGTGGTTTGGATATGCAGTATTAAAGGATTGTTCCAATCCAGCAGTGTTCAGAAGTGCTCTGACTTCAGTAAATACCTGATGATTCATGGTAAGAAAACAGTGCTGAGAGGTGGTAGGAAACAAGAGGTTGGACTTCTGTAGAAGAGGGACCAAAATGTTCTCTTTAGTCCCTAGTTCTGGCCAAACTGTAAACACCATTTGCTCTGCCAGTTCCTGTCACTGTTCTCTGGTAAAGCAGCAACAGACTGGAGATTTCGGCAAAACCACCATATCAAATTCCTAGTAAAGGAAACACAGCTTCTGCACGGAGTCCATTCCTTGAGTGGAAGGGAGAAAAAAACAGAAGGGAGCAAACCTACTTGTGCCACTTGTATACAAAGAATGAGAACACCTCCTGGTTTTTAAATTTATTGTCATATTGATGTAAAGCTGAAACACACTACTACAATGACATCCGACAGGTCAACACTCGACAGAGAAATGCATGCTTTTGCTACTGAAGACTGCTGTGAAGCATCTGGATGGTACCACCTGAAAACTGAAACTAGTGATTTCAAGCCTTTTTTGTGAGCACAGTCCCTTCCTACCCTCTCCTGCAAAAGGCCAGGGCCATTACCAGAAGCTCACCACCACAGGAGGGATCTGAGATCTGTTGGTCAAGTGTCTGGAACACAAATCAGTGTGAGTAGTGGTCCAGAGCTGGGCTTAAGTGTTTGAAGAACAGCAAACACCAAATGTTTTAATACCAAATAGAGGATTGCTGTTTCTATGAGGGAATAACTCATCAACAAGTGGCCTCAGCACAAGATGGCTGTGCTCAGTCTCTGGGAGGGGGAATTCTACATTCTTAATGCTCCCTCTGACATCACAGGCTTTAGAAACAAGCAGAACAATTTCAGCATCCCACAGTAGCCATCACTTTGAACTGCACATTACACTAACATACAAAATGTAAGTATCTTGTCACATATCAACTCTCAGTCACAAACAATAGGACATGAAAAGCTATACACAAGGACAAAACACCACGCAACGTTCCGATATTCCCATTATCCAGATGTTAAAGAGATGATGATGACAAATCAGAAACTTTGCATCCAATGTTTGCCGCCAACTTTCTATTTTACCGTCTTCTGGTGCCACCAAATCCTAGCATGAGAAAAATAAAGTCTACATTAGTTTTGAAAAATATATGAAAATTGCTTAAAATTGCACAAGATGTGCATGTCTCTTGAAGGAAACAAGAAAGCAAGCTATGAGGGAAGGCTACAATGCTCCATGAGGAGGAACAGGGCATTTCGGGACAAGGCAGACCTCCCTAGTCATCAAGTCTCATGACCTCACACACACTTGCTATCAGGAAACCAAAGAGCTCCATTGTAAGCAATATGCCAGTATGCAAATAATAACCATGAATATGCAATGTCTAAGCTAAAAAATAAATCATAAGTCATGTCCTGCTGACCTCTCACAACTGAAACTCATAGATAAACAGAATGGAGGAGGTATGAATTTTTAATGTTTTTAATGTGTTGCTTGAATACTACACCTATCACCCCACACACACCATAACAAACAGGCTACCTATAGCTTACAACATTGCTGAGCTTATCTGTTAGTGCATGGAGTGCATGTACCTCTGTTGCTAAAATACAGCTGCTCCTCTATACTTGTGGTTTCCACATCCATGGACTCAACCAACTAAACTTTGAATATATACACATATATATACATATATATGTGTGTGTGTGTGTACACACACACACACACACACATACATGTTTGTTTGTTTTTAAGATGTACCTGTTGTACACACATACTCACCATGTTCCTTATCAAGCCCTAAATATCACAGTGTAACAACCACATATATGATGTATATACTGTCTAAGGACCACAGGTGGTTCACAGATGAAGTACAACAGCTGGGAGGGCATATTGTACTAATGATATACAAATACTATGCCATCTTTATGTAGGGAACTAAGCATCCACAGGTTTCGTTATGCCTGGGGATCCTGGAAGCAATACCACCACCATTTCCTATGGAGGGATGGCTTCTTCTGAGAGTACACTTGCTGGACCCTAGGGATGTCTAGATTCAAGTTCAGTAGGTGAAGTGACTAGTTTACATCCAAATCAGCACTAAGAATACTCTTACATTTCTAAACAATTCATATATGTTTCTGTCAACTTCATGAATTATTCATTGCTCTGTGTCTTCCTTCTGAAGAAAGTCAAGCAATCTATGGAGATCTGCAAATGCCTCATTTCCCACCACTTCTAACAGCTAGTGGGTCTTTTGTTATTTTCTTACATTGTATCTTTACTTTCTATGAAACGTCCTGTTCACTCTTTAAAACAAATATTAAAATCACACTGTTGACATTTTTTAAAGTCTAACTCAATATTTTTTTTGTAACTCTCTTGAATTTGAAAGGCCAGACAGAATTCTACAAACATTGAAGGCTCTGGCTTACAGCTTAAAGGGTTCTGGAGTTAAACATCTATAGACACTAACATCCAGGAAGGCTTGATTTTCCAAGCCACTTTTAGGAAATGTTTAAAGAGGGAAGAATGAAATTGATTTGGTTTCAGTCTTAGTTAACTGTGTTGCTAACATGTTTGGTGTACACACCGAATGAAGTCAGGATGCTTTCACACAGGTGTACACACAAAATGAAGTCAGGATGCTTTCACACAGGTGTGCACACCGAATGAAGTCAGGATGCTCTCACACAGGTGAGCACACAGAATGAAGTCAGGATGCTCTCACACAGGTGAGCACACAGAATGAAGTCAGGATGCTCACACACAAAAAAGTGTGCACACCAAATGAAGCCATGATGCTCTCACATAGATAGACACACTGAATGAAGTCAGGATGCTCTCACACAGGTGAGCACACCGAATGAAGCCATGATGCTCTCACACTGTTCTGAGCTCCTTCTGCATTTCCCCTGCACTCATCAGCACTTCTGTATTTACCTGATGCTGTTCTAGTTCTCGAGTCTGCATTTGAGTTCGAGGATGCAGAATAGCTCCCTGCGCCTCCACCCAGTGGTGAGTAGGCACGACTATTCCAGGTGCCAGAGTAGGAAGGAGGGTAAGATGGGTAGTACCATGAGTCTGAGAAGGGGGTCGCCGCCCTTAAAGACACAAAAGTGAGTTAAGAATCATTTTTCCAACCACAATTACTTCCCTGTTCCTAAGTCATCAGAAAAATGCCATCTCTATTAAGTATTTTTTACCATGACAAAAATTTTGTGTCTACTTCTGTCACTTACAGCAACTGCTGTGGCAATAAAAAATGGCAAGAAGTAAGTAGGCCTTCTTCCTGAACTCCCAACCAAGGCCTGAGCTTGGAGTACCGTGAAACTAAGACTTCCAAGACCAGCCCAAGCCCCGCTCGATCTATCACTCCCTCAGCCAGACAGCCAACTGTCCCTTCCCCAACTGCTGTGTCTCCTCTGCCTTCTTCACATGTGCTGGGCTGTCAGGCAGACAGTCTTTCTCTGTCTCTTACGAAGGAAGACAATGAAGGGAAATAATAAACATAATACTGACCAAAGCAAACCAAAGCCCTGAACCTTCCCCTCTATGCAAAAATCACATTTCATAGGGCAAGATCACCATCATTTGTTCCCCTTACGAAACCAAATTCAAAACATGTAATGCCTTATAAGCAAAGCAAAGGCCGCTTGGTAGAACTAAGGGCAAACATCCTGCCTGCAGAGCTTACCTATTGCTGCCGAACAAATATCCTAACAGTCCTCCAGTGCCCAGGCCAGTCCAGAACCCCGGGCCTGAACTGTCACAGCCTTGTCCTGCAAAAGCACTCCCAAAGCCAGTGTTCTGTGGTCCTTAAAATAAAATACACATTAATAGACAAAGTGCCTTCATAAACATGTGACATTTCATTATTCCATATGTACTACTTATTAGTAATGTTCGGTCCTCAACCAGTGAACAAGCTGAATTCAAAGGGGGTATTTATAAAATATTAGCTTGTAACTCAGGAACACATTTCCACAGGCAGAGAGAGACTGAGATGCAGAGCTTTAGGATTTGCAAGCATGGTCTTCCTGCAGGATTATCTATCTCCCTTGCTCATGTTCGGCTTCTAGACGATAACCCCCTTTCGGGTTCCTCCTTTCTATGCTGTGAAGCTCTGTAAGAACTCAGGTGAGAACTATGCCTGAGTCTCTAATGGAAAAAGGCAGCCTGACATTTATCAATTATGATGTCAGATCACAACATCTTCCACTTAGAAGAAGCTATAAACATGGAGATGCCTAGGAAAGTATACCAATCTTACACACAGCTACAGAACAATGAGCTTGTTCTCTGACCCCTCCACGTAACCACTGCTACATCAACAAATCATTTGAGCAACTCAGACAGCTCATGACAATGCCTGATAGACATTCACTGTGTGTTATCTGAGCTAAGCAGTGCTCAGACTTCCTATATTTTAATTCTGTCCATTTCATGATCATGAATGCCCAAGGAAGTCAGAAGAGGGCATGGGATACTCCTGAGACTAGATTTTTTTTTTTTTTAAATCACAGCTATAAGCTGCTATGTGGGTACTGGGAATCAAACCCAGGTCTTTTGCAAGAGCAGTAGGTGCTCTTAATCACTGAGCCATCTCTCCAGCTCTCCATACCTTTCTATTATAAAATGGTTCTTTGAATCCTCTATTCAATTGCAGACTGTTACACTTATTTACTTGAGGGAGTGCACAGCACCACAGCATGCATGCACAGGAGTCAGATGGCAACCTGCGAGTGCCAATTCTCTCAATTCTCTCCTTCCACCACCTGGTCCTGAAGATCAAACTCAGGTCACCAGGCTCAGAGGCAAGCACCTTACTCACTAAGCATCCAAATCTCTCTGCCCAGTCTTAGTGATTTGTCTTTTCTCAGATTTATGGATGTCTTTGTGGTCTAGGCACAAGTCTTTTGTCAGCAGTTTTACAAACTCTTGTCTTTTTGGTTGTGAGCCTTGCTGTTAACAGATCATCTCTCTAGTCCACACTTTATGAATTCCTTATCCAAATCTGTGGCCTGCTCTTTTCATTTCTTAGCAGTATTTTCTGATAAACAGACATTCTTAATTTAAGTAAAGTCTAGTGTACCTATCTTTCCTTTTATTTTAGTAATTTCTGTGCATTAATCTTTATCTAGCCACATGTAGTGGTACATGCCTTTAATTGCAGCACTTGGGGGGCAGAGGCAGGAGGGCTGCTATGAGTTGGAGGCCAGCCTGGTCTACAGAGCTAATTTCAGGACATAGTGAGACTCTGTCACAAACACACACACACACACACACACACACACACACACACAAAGGAAAACATACCTACATTCTATTTCATTCTAGTAAGTTTTTTATGTGTATAGTGTGAAGCAGAAGTCAAAATAATGCTTATTAAAAATTTGACTGAGTTTTCCAGCTAAAATGATGATCTTTACCAGGCAACTTTAATAACAGTGACCACAATACACTGTTAGAAGCAGAGCAGCAGCCAGTGACCTGGCTCAGCTGGGGAAAGTGCTGTGCAACTGTGACAATTTTGAGTTCAATCCCCACATAAAACCTAATAAAGGTGGAAGGGAATGATCGTCTATGGTTACCCTCTGACTCCCACATCCACACCATGGTACAGTCACCTCCCATACACACACACACACACACACACACACACACACACACACACACAGTGCATACACACAATAATATACATTTTAAATTTTTTCTTTAGAAAAAAGAAGGGCTGGACAGGCATCTCCTTTACTAAGAGCACATGCTGCTCTTCCAGAGGACCCAAGTTTGGTTTCTAGCATGTATACGAGACCCTAAACAAAACCACTTGTACTTCCAGTCCCAGGGGCCTGAAACCCACTTCTGGCCTCCATAGCACCCACACATGTACAAAGACACATTTTTTTTTAACCTATTTGAAAAGATATTTTTTTTTTAACCCAGTAAATAGACAAATGTTTTGTTTCCAGATGCAATTAGTCTCTTCTTCAGAAACAGGCACAAGACCCATCCACTCACATGCAACCCACTAACTGCCCTTAGCAGGGAAACATACCTGTGAACTCAGACTTAAAGCCAGGCGGAGGCGCACCTGCAGCATTGCCAAACCTCTGATAGCGCTGGGAATATGGAGGGTACTCAGAATACGGTGGAGGAGAAGCCTGGCCATCACTGAGGAACAGTTTATAAACCACAAAGGCAAGAGCAAGCAGTACCCCAATGGTGACCAGCCCGCCAACGCCACAGGAATCTGAGGAGTACAACTTGCGATAATAATCAGAGAAGCCCTGGTGTTTTGCAGACTCCTTCAGTTTCTTCAGGCCGAGTTCTGTGTAATCCAAGTGGTACTCCAAGCCACAGGAACCCCTGAGGACATACTGGTCTTCAGAGGACTCGTAGCCTTCACAGCTCACCACCGTTTTTCCAAATTTGTATGCAATATCCAAATCGGTCTTACATTCCCACTGTGATAAAGAGAAACAGGCTCTAAGAACCAAAAGATATGTATCACAGCAGTCACAAAACTGCATAACGGGGCAAAAGAATGATCCACTAAATCCCAGACAGTAGTATGTATGGAAGAGACACGCTTCTAAGACAGTGGTTCAAAACCTACTTAAGCTAGAGGGGGATACATGAGCATTCACTTGTGGCTTTTTCTTACTCCCCAGACAGATATTATATATTCTTCAGTACAAGTTAGGTATTCCATATTTTATAAGACTAAGGCAAATTTTGAAACTATCACCTGCTTGCCACTATTGTCAAAGGTACTTCCTTGATGGCTAGATTCTCTAGATTGTAAAATCAAAGAATCAGCATCAGGGAAGAGGCCAGCTCTAAAGATATACATGCTTACAAAACTGAGTAGACTGAGCACATTGTGTTTATATATTAATTATGTACATTACATACTGTCACATATGTAATAATAATTAAAAAGAGACCATGTGAGAGGAATTAGAGGAAAGGGGGAAATAATATAAATCTAGAAATATATATATATATATTTCTTAGATTTATTTATAATGTATACGGTGTTCTGCCTGCATGCCAGAAAGAGGGCACCAGATTTCATTACAGATGGTTGTGAGCCATCATGTAGTTGCTGGCAATTGAACTCAGGAACTCTGGAAGAGTAGCCACAGCTCTTACCTGCTGACCCTCTCTCCAGCCCCAGACATATCAATGTTTAAACTAGCATCCTATATATAAGATCTAACTGCTGTGTAAGCAGATCACCTTTAAAACATTTTGTGAAAACTATGGACTGACTTTACAGGGTTTAATCCTACATAACCTTCTTTAGCTTTTTAAAGATGTACTTAGAAAGCTACAAAAAGAATCCATATTAGCTTAAATCTTACCCAGGAGAGAGAAGAGAGAGAGGAAGCAGGTATTCTTAGCCAGACATGATGACCTAGATTTATAATGTCAGTGATGTGGAGTGCTAAGATAGGAGGCTCAAATCTAAGGCCAGCCTAGGCTACACACCAAGGTCCAGACCGGCCAAGGAACACAGAAATATCTCACCTCAAAATAAACAAACTGAGACTGGGGTGTATGTAGCTCAGAAGCTGAACGTGAATAGCATCCAGGGTTTGAGCTCCAGCACTACCAAAAACTAAGCAAAGAAGCAAGTTAAGATTAAAGTCTTTAATTTTTGCTGAATTGATAAAATACTTCCCTCACAGTGTCAGAGGATACAAGCTAGGACAGGATCTACTGCCTTTCTGTCAGGTTTTGCTCAAATGTTTCTCTTTGTACTTCAGCCACACTGGTTCACTGTCTCTAAAAGAGCCTTGCTGAGGTGTGATTCACAGAAGATTCTCACACCAGTATTTTTAGTAAGTTCATGCATGTGTACAACTTTTACTATTACTAAGAGCTTTAAAATCTAATGATTACCCCCAAGGAAACCTCACCCATGAGCAGCTGCCCACTTCCCCTTCCCAGTGTCCCACCCTAACTGAACTGCTTTTCCTCCCTGTGCTGGGACATTTCTTGTAAAGAAAATCAGACATGTAGGTCTCTGTAACTGTCATCTTGGCTTTAGTGTACCGCTTTCAAGGTTCATGCATGTTACAGCATCAATCGGCACTTTGTTCCTTTTAATGGCTGAAAAAAAAACACTGCCCCTTATGAATAGACTACATTGTATTATTCATTAGTTTTAGCTTTTGGGTTTTTCTGTTTTAGCTATCTGAACATTCCTGCAAATATTTATATAGTTGTTGGGAAGAAATATGCTTTCAGTTCTGTGAAGATATATTCCTAGGAGTGGAAGGAATGATTGGGGCATCATTCTTTTTTTGTTTCTTTTCTTTTTTCTATTTTATTACTATTATTACTATTATCTTTTTCTTTGTTTCATTTGTTTTGTTTGGGGGGCGAGGGTTGAGGCAGGGTAGCTCTGGCTGTCCTGGAACTCACTATGTAGACCAGGCTGACTTTGACCTCAGAGCTGTGCCTGCCTTTCCTCCTAAGTGCTGGGATTAAAGACATGCACCACCACACCCAGCTTTGGGGCATCTTTCTTGATGAGTTCTTTAAAGCCCAGATGTTGTTTATTTACATAATATGCAATTTTTCTTTTTGTTGTTGTTATTACTATACTATGTATTAATTTTATCTGGAAAAAAAGATGCCTGAATTTGCTGACTTAAGTAAACAGAACAAGTTGCATCTACAACTGAATATACTAGAGCAGTTTCTGAGTACCCCATTTCACTTTAAATCACTGCAGAAAGTGAGCCAAGCCTTGAGGGGCTTTACTTCCTGATGCCATCCTTTCTAATACAGCACTTGCACCTCCTCTGAGTCTCTGTCGGGCCCTCCACCACACACAGCTTTACCACTTCGTTGGTAAGTACACTATCCAAGTACTTATTTTCTCTCCCTCTAGATGAGTGCCTTGCTATCCTAGTCATGTGGTATATTACTATATGCTTAAAGGGCTCTACACAACGTTAGCACCCATATCCCCACCATGTAATAGTAATTTAGGATGGGCATGAGACATCTGCATTAGCCAGGAGATTCTAATTAAGTAATACTGGGGAGGGGGGCTGGGAAACCAGTATCACCAGCAAACACAAGCTTGGGCCACATGCATGGTGGCACACACCTTTAATTCCAGCACTTGGAAGGGAGAAGCAGGGAGATCACTCGACAGAGAGTTCCAGGACACCAGGCCTACACAGGAAGACCCTGTCTTAAAAACAAAATAATAGAACTCCAAACTACACGGGTTATACATAAAAGTTTTATCAAGAAAGAATATTAGTTTTTCCAAAATAATGATGTCTCAATAAACAGTTTATTGAATTAAAATTTGCTGTGTATCAATTTCCTCCGAGATAGAACCTCCACCTTGGAGGGAGGATCACTAAGACATGGGCTATTGTTCTAACTAGAGGTGACACACTCCATCCTGCAGGCATGCTCCTTAAGCTCTGAATGGAAACAGCTAGGCCTCTCCTTATGAAGTGTATGCAAGCAGTGAGGACTGCTAAGAGACACTCTCCCACTGCCCAGCTGCCTCCAGGTTGTGTGGTGAACTCCAGGCTTCCAGCCTTCATGAGCCGTGACCCATGCTGGGGTGGCTTCTGATGATGCAGATATCTTTGAGTAATTTCTGCTCCTATTAACCCAAACCCCTGCAGGAATAGTGACACACTAAGCTATTACCTGTACATCATAGCCGTCCCAGCCTTTGTTCTGGCACTGTATCACTTTGGGGGTGTAGGCATCACAACCAGCTGTGCCTCCAACACACTTCAACTGTGGAATAGGGTCCAGCCTCCGGGAGGTGGTGTAGCGGTCATAGTGAAGGGTTAGAGCTTTCACATCCCGCAGTAGTATTCTGTCTGAAATAAGACACACATCACCATGAGGACCTCACACTAACACAGAAGAGCAGTTTCAAAGTCAATCATCTGTCTTGGCTTGTGAGTTAAGAAAGGACTCAAAGCCCTCCTGACAGCATCTAGGTCTTTCACACAAAACTCAGATGACCACACATTTAAACCACTCATCATTTTAAGCTAGGTGCTGCTTCATCATGAGTGCTATAATATAAAACTACTGTATAATATTCATAGTTAAAAATGGCAAAAATACACAGGAAGGTCTGTCTCTACAGTTTTTTTCTGTTATAATTAGAATATTATCTCTTGATTCTTTGATTTTATTTTTTACATTCATTCATTGTATGGGCAGTTGTGCATGTGCACAGGGCAACAAATGTGCATGTGACTTGGCATGTGTGGGAGTCAGTACACAACTCTAGGGAGTCATGCTCTCCTTCCACTACATGGATGATCATATGTAACTCAAATCCATCACGCTTCGCAGCACCAGTCTTTATGCACTAAGCCATCTTGCCAGTACTATTATTATTATTATACATAATTACATAAAACCACTTCCAAGCACATAAATAATGTATTTTGAGCATATTCCCCCATATTCAACCCCCCCTTCCCACCTCTCCCCCATCTCATCAGTCCTTTATTCCCAAGACAGCAACACTTGCACTTTCAGTGATCAGTACACACATACTGTGTTACTATAATGTCTAGGACCCTCAGAGAGTGAAAATCCATGCAAGTCTGGGCTATCTCTAGTTATTTCCACTGTCCTGCAAACGACAGCTTTATGGCTCCAAAACATTGCACTGTATTTATAAACCATTCATCTGTTGCTAGACACCCATTTCAGTTCCTAACTTAGTTATTGTAAACTGATGCTCAGGCCTCTTATGTGGTGGATTGGTTTGGAGTCTTGGGGGTAAATATCAAGAAGTAGCTGAGCCTCAAGGTAGTGGTGCACTCAGGAGGCAGAGGCAGGAGGATCTCTGTGAGTTTGAGAACAGCCTGGTCTACAGAACAGTCAAAGCTACCTAGAGAAACCATCTTGAAAAAGCAGTAGTAGAGCTGGATTTACTTTAACTGTTGTCATTTCAAGGCAGCTCCATACTGCTCTCTTGTTCTTACAGTGTACCCTGTACTATGCAGCATGTGTAAAATAAGGACTTGTGTATCAAACTAAACAGATGGCAAAACCATTTTACACAAAATGGAGATTACAGAGTGTTTGGCTTTACATAAACCTTGAGAAAAGGTAAAAGTTCCTACACACTAATGTTTACACACATTCTTGTTGACATATGTACTTAATAGTGAGAAAACATGCACAGGAATAATCAATCAAATACAGGGTTCAGATGAGTATCTCGAGGAATATGGAAAAACACTCACTGTCGGTGTGTGGCCCGAGGAGCCCATCAAAGAGTCACAGAGCAATAGGAGCACCAGGCCCCTCTCCCACAGGTGGTGGCTGCCATCTGCCTTACCTCAGAACTCAGAGAGTTGCAGGCACTTGATCAGAAAAGGGCACAATCTCAAGCCCCATAATATTAATCAGAAAACAGGAGATGTTTTGGAATGGGGCTATACCAGAAGACCATAAACCTACCTCTCTAAAGTACCAGCCCATAGGAAAATGATGGCAAGAATTTCTCACCATCAGGGACTTTAAACCACTGTCTTGGCCAAATCAGCACACCAGCCATTTTAACATTTCTCTGTGCAGCCATCCTTTTATGCAGAAATATATATTTTTTAAATGCTTTTCTTTCACTAATTTCTTTAGTCAATTACACAGTCCCATCCTAATGTTACCTTTTCCTTCCCCCAACCCCATACAGGCTTTCTCTGTGCAGCCCTGGCTGTCCTAGAACTCACTCTGTAGACCAGGCTGGGCTCGAACTCAGAGATCCACCTGCCTCTGCCTCCTTAGTGCTGGGACTAAAGGAGTGCACCACCACCACCACCTGGCTCACCTTTTCCTTTTAAAAGCCAATCCTACTGTCTCTAGCTCCCTTTTCTGTGATAGCCAAAATTACTAGACTGAAAAATACCCTCTTTATATAAATCACAAAACTCTTCAAAACATAAAAATAAAGGCAGTGCATTCAGTATCAATGTTACCTTTTTTCAACTTCCGAAATACTATTATTTGTTCTCATTTATAATATAAATTAAAAACAAATAGTGGGGAAGCAGAGACCAGCCTGGTCTATAAGAGCTAGTTCCAGGCCAGCCTCCAAAGCCACAGAGAAACCCTGTCTTGAAAGAAAAAAAAAATAGTGAATCAAATCTTGAAAACTACAGAAATGAGAAATCATGATACACAGTGAATATCAAAAATTTGCTCATTTGCTAAAATATAGTTACTATATTTAAAAATATAGTTACTAAAGATTAAAATTCAGCATGCAGCCTGATTTCCCAACAGGAATATGGTCATACACAGCCCGGGCTGTTAAGGGAAAGCCACATTTCATTCTTTATAATGCTAGCTAATAATTAAAACTGACAGAATTAGAAAATTTTTCACTTTCATTTTCTAGCCCTTAAGAGACAGATTCAGACAAGGAGTAATTAGTGGTAAAACTCTGATACGGTACCAAGATCGTAACATGAATTGCTCTCCTATCTGAATGAGGAAAGAGTAACTTCACAAGAAAGATAAAGCCCCTTTAATGCAGAGATTAACCAGAAAGTAGAAAACAGAATAAACTAACTGTTCTCTCTGATGTAACCCCCAAGACAATTTACTATCACTCCAATGCTTATCCTTGGCTAAAAGGGAGTTTGAGGCCAGCCTGGTCTACATAAGGCCTTGTCTCAAGAATTTAAAAGGAAAAAAAAAAAAGAAACCTATAGACACCTTGTCTCAAGTAAATAAATAATTGAGTTTAATCCAATTCCAAAGGTGCAATTCAGAGACAGTTTTGATCAGATAGCTTCAGCAAATTTCTGGAATTCACATAAGGAGTGTTTGACTTAAACCTAATCAAAAGCTGCCATATTATTCTTCATACACTTTCATTGCATAGTGTCAATAAGCCCAGCTACAAACACAATGCTTGAGCTAACAACAAAGATAAGGGAAAACAATGGTCCCTAATAATGGAAGTATGGTGCACTAGAAGAAAATCCACCTGCAGCCACACACAAACTTAACTTGATGTGGCATAAAAATCTAAAATCCAAACACTTTGGAAACCCAGGCAACAGCTAGCCTGAGCTACATACAAAACAGTGTCTCTAAAAAGAGGGGGGAAAAGATCTAAGATTTCTAAGAACTATATGAAAGTTTGCTATACTAAATCCAAATTACTACCTCATACATTAAACACTAAAACAATGAAAATGTTCTAAGATTTTATAGGTTACACTATACATAAGCTAACTAAGAGGAATAATGTGAATTTGCCATAGGAGGCTGAATGATGCAAAAAAACAATTAACTAAATTGACATCACCAACATAATATGACTTTGACCAAGGCAATAAAGTAGTTATTAAAACTGCCTGGCAGAATATTTGATGCACAGGAGGTGACTGAATATGAGAAATAGTAGCAAGACTATTTTAAGAACTATACACACAGGAACATAATTACCATAGCCCCCAGAGCAGCAATCTCTAGAGAGCCTTCAGGTCTACCACGAAAATGCTCACTTACACATGCCCACTTGTTACATCAGGCAAAGCACACACAGAATCAACCCCCTGAGCTCCAGACTCATAATCCAAATCTTTTCTTAAGAGAAATGAAACCAAGGCCCCTGAACTCAGTTCTCCCCACACTTCCCAGCATCTCAGAAAACCTACTGACTCTTGCACCATCCTTATCTTTTTTCTCTTTTTTTAAAGACTGGGTTTCTCTGTGTGTATAGCCCTGGCTATCCTAGAACTTACTCTGTAGATCAGGCTGGCCTCAAACTCAGAGATCCGCCCGCCTCCCCGTGCTGGGATTTTTAAAGGTGTGTGCCACCATCACCACCACCCCCATCCTTATCTCTCCCACTGACACTCCATCAGAATACCCAACTTCAAAACAGTTGAGATATTCTAACTATAGACATCTCACTTCCATTCAACCTGTTTTTCAGCCTGTTTTCCAAAGGATAACCCACATGAACTTTTGAAAATTTAAACAGTACCCTTTAACTCCTCCTTCCCTTCTGGTTCCTCAAAAATGTCACTTTAATGGTGACTTCTTCCCTGATCAATACGTATTTTTTTAAGTCACCACTTCTGCCCACAAACCCCACCCTCATTGTTTTACCACTGTCCATAACTCATTTCACCACAGGACAAGCTATTTACATGTTTACAGTCTACTCCTCCTCAACAGACATAAATTGAAAAATTTGTAAGTAACCTTAGAATGGTGCCCCTGCTCCCCAGACATATTACTGAGTGTTCTATATTACCTAAAGACACAGTAAACAAAAAAAAAATAAATTGGGAAGTTGCTTAACCGAGTCTTAATATCAAACCAGATACCTTCATAAGACAGTTCTGTTCCAGAACGGTAAGTTTTGCAGCAAAAAGTAGACTAAGAACAACCTGGAAGTGGTTCACCATTAATTTAAATGTGGTTGGTTTTGTGTGGGGGGGGGGGTTCCTTCTAATTCCCCTGAGACTACATCTCTAAACTTCCCCAGGTTTTAAATGAATTCTAATCAGGTCTCTCATTTTCACACAACCTTCTAGGATTATTTAAGCAAAGTGTACAGGCGTTTTATAACCACTGTAGCTTAACTCTTGACAACAAAGCATGCTTCTCAAATTAAAGGTTACTCTGTGTGAAGGGGGATCAACTGCACTGTGAATTTAGCACGCTCAAGGAAAGTATGTTACAAAAATAACCTGTTGCTTACATTCAAAACCCAAGCGTGGTCTGCCATTGCTTTGTTTTCCATGGCATTTACACAGATATAGCGGCCCCTTCCTAGTCAGTTCTCATATATCACTTAAAAGTTAAGAAAATGCACTAACTAGAAAAAAACAGGGAATCCTGTTTACAAAACCAATACAATCCAGAATTCCCAAGTTTGTGGTCCTGGTCCTTAAGCATGACTCAGAGACTGCAGGTGGCATAGTAACAAGGAGCCATAGCAACAGGCAGCCATGACAACAGTGGGCGATGATGACATCGGACAGCCACGATAACAAGATGCGCAGGTGAGGATCAAAATTGTCATCAGGACTCTGGGATGCGGCCTAAAGCGGGCAATCTTCGAGCCCAGGCTCCTGGAGAAGGGAACTTTTAAAATCCAGAATCGTGCGCCCCGCCCACTCCTAGGGGTCCTCACCCGGGGGGAGGGGGGGGAGAAGAGCCAGGGTACAGAAAAGCAAAGGATCCAGGAGAGGACAGACGGGAGGAAACTGATCAAAAGGGCAGCGATGAAGGGGACGGACACCCATCCGCAGGGCCGCACTCACCAGGGTCGTTCCAGCACAGCGCAGAACCGGCCAACAGCAGGAATGACAGCAGGCGCAACAGCGGGCAGCGCGCGGCTCCCGGGCGGCCGACAGCGACCACGGCCATGGCGCTGGATGAAGACGGCGCTCGGCGGCCCGAGACCCGCTGCGGAAATGCTCCCGCCGCTGCGCAGCGACCCCTAGAAACCCGCGACCCAGAGCAAAGCGTCTGCCTGCAGCGCGGCGCGACGGCTCTGCGACCTGCGCCACTCTGACGTCACTACCGCTGCGGCACGTAGGCGTCCGTGATTGGCCGCTTCCTGCCCCGCCCCTAGTGCCCCGCCTCTTTGAGGGCGGGATCAGACAGGGAGCGTCGCGTGGGTGGAGTCTAGGCTCAGACCCCCATCTGGAGTGTTGTGACTGGCTGAGAATGTTCCTGAAGGTGCCCAGTGCGAAGCTACCACAGTTTAAGAGGCTAAAAACTTTCTAGAAAGGAAATCAAGGAAGTAGTGCGGTAATACGTGTATCCAAAATCTCAGTATCCTTCCCAAAGGACGTTATTTTGCGGGTTCAGTGCCTAACACCGTCAAGCAGGACTTGTGTTCTAGTACTCTTGTCTTTAATAGGAATCAGGTGACTTCCGCGCTCAGAACCTAAAACAAGCATGGTTCCTAAAACATGAAAGCCTTTAGAACACGCAAGAAGCCAAGAGGAGACAATACTGAATGAATAGATAACCACCCATACAAAACGTTTCTCTGCGCTTTAAAGCCTGCGAGTCTGAGTTTCTTGGATGCATTCGTTCAATATATATAAGTTGAATGCCTAATATAATAAAATATAACATAAAAATAAACCAGCTACTGTTTTAGCCATGGGAAATAACAAGGGCCTTGTATTTAAGAAACTTAGGGTAACGTAGCACAGGACAAAATGAAAATAATAGGTAGTGGTAAATTTGTTATCAAAATATAATAAGCACCAGGAGTCAAAATCTGAAAGGGCAGGGCTCAGGAAATGACTTTGAAGCTTGAGATGTGAATGATAAGAACTCACCTTTAAAAAAACAAAAAAAACAAAAAAAAAAGCGGGGAGGGGGGTGTCTGACCTAGCCTAGGGCACAGTGGATTACAACCATCCTGCTCCGGCTATGTTTTGAAGAACAGTCAGTCTTCCACTCAGCTGTTTTAGGCTGGACATTTAACACACTTATCAGTGCCGAACAGGCGGGTGCTGTAGTATAGATACCTCAGAGAATTTGTAGATTGTAAATAGGAGGCATGAGATAGGCAAGCAAGGCCAGTGAGGCAAAGTAAATTTCTGGGTATTAGAACAACATGGGAAGCTTTGAATGGAACCCAGCAACCTTAAAATACCAAAAAGATAATCGAGAATCCGGTCCTCAGTTGATTGAATTTGAGCTGAGTGTTAAGTATCTAAGCAGGAAAGCCAAGTAGACAATAGCCACACCCAAAGTCCAAAGCCACTGTAAATCTGGCTGTTATATTATTAATATGAAGATGGTATTGAATGCCATAGAAAGAGATGGGTAGTCATTGTAATGAGAAAAACAAAAGACCCCAACTAAGTAAGGGAACCCTGACTCTAGGCTATGACAGGAAGTCACGAGCAGTTCCCACAAGAAGAGGGGAGCCTGAGCTCATCACCAACTGTGTAAATATCACTCCCCACCCCATTGTTTCTTAAGAAAACTGGGAACCAGGTAGCCTCTCTGGCCTGCTGGTCATAAATCCCTCAGATTCCAGGATGTCCTTAAAGAAACAGGGAACTAGATGACTTCTTCCAGACCCCAGGATGTGTTAACCAACCCTGCCTGAGCAGAGGACAGTTAAGGCGCCTTTGCTAAATACCCTTTGTCTCTCAATTACCTTGTATGGAAACTCTGTAACCATGTGCACTAAGAAATCTCTGTAACCATAGAAACCTTATGATGTAAGATCAGGGGTCTCACGACCCCCTTCCTGTTCTTTGCTCTTTAAAAATGCCTTGCATTTGTAGTTTGGGGCTTCCATTCTCCCGGCTAGCTGTTTTTGTGCTTGCATTTGAGTGTCGCTGGCTCCTTGAAGCTTTGGGGGTCTCTTGGTAGGCAGAGAAGTGATAAAATTTAGACAAGGTAAAAATGTAGGAAGGCCCAAGTTATGGGAATACTGCTCTTTCTATCTTGAGCAGAAGACCCTAGAAATAATCTGATAAAGAAAGAAAGGAAGGGAGCATGGAAGTGGCTTAACAGACAAAGGCCATAGCCTCGAAGTCTTAAGACCCATATGGCCTGTTGGTTTGGGTTTTTTTTTTTTTTTTTTTTTTTGTCTTGTTTTGTTTTTGTCAACTTGACACAAGCTAGAGTCATCTGGAAGAGGGAACCTCATCAGATTGGCCTAGAGGCAAATCTATGGGAACATTTCCTCAATTAATAATTGATGTGGGAGGGCCCAGTTCACTGAGGGTGGTGACTCAACTGGATAGGGAGGTTCTAGGCTGTACAGGAAAGTGGATTGAGCAAGCAAGCCATGGAGAGCAAGCCAGCAATCAGTGCTCCTCCATGGTCTCTGCTTCGGTTCCTGCCTTCAGATTTCTGCCTTGAGTTCCTACTGACTTTCCTCAGTGAGGAATTATTAGCTATAAGATGAAATAAACTCTTTCTTCCTCAAGTTGCTTTTGGTCAGAATATTATAATCATGGCCATAAAAATTAAAAAAAAAAAAAAAACTAGGACAGCATGTAAAAGTGAAAGAAGAGAACTTACAAAGTTATCTTCTGACCTCTACAAGCTATGCCTCTCCCTACCCATTACACACACACACACACACACACACACACACACACACACACACACACACACGGGGGGGGGAGCAATATGGTAACTATAAGAGAAAATGGTCACTAATGGCCACTCTTGCTGGGAAATTAAAGCAAGAACAAAAGCAGCTTTGAGGTTTGTGGTATAGAATCATCTAATTACCTTTACATGAAATTTTCTGCTATTTGAGCCCCTATTCTAGATCTAAACTGTGATTTTTAAAACATGAAAAGGTGCCCTAATTTATATTCAAGTGGGAAATGAGCCAAATAATGAATGGGTGCTCTGAAGAAGAAAGCAGCTGATGTGATGGGTGTTGCCATAATAAACAAAATTTTTAGATAAGATCCTCTCAGAAGCCAAGTGGAACTAAGATCTAAAACATGAGGCTACTTGGAAGAGGGGCGTGTGCTTTCCTCCTCTCTATTGGCACAGTGGAGAACATTTCTATGGCCCAATATGTTCTGGAAGAATTTGTCTGTGCAGCAAACAGTTCTCAATTGGGCACCACTCTGCTGTCTAAATGTTATTACAATTCTGATATGTCTGCTGCAGGGTGGGATCAGATCTCATCAGTTCAGGGCTACCTATATACAGCTACCCCATACATCAGGTGCCAGTCTCAAATCCCATGCAGTGACAGATGATTCTCGCTCACCAGCTGTAAATCAACTGTTTCTCTGATACACATACACTCAATGAAGTATATCTGGAACATCTGTCATAATAAAACAAAGAAAAACCATATGGAGGAGGAGACAGGGGTAGGAAGAATAAATAAACCAACATTAATCCACTGACCAAAAGTACCTTGAGGTATATAGGAGTTCACTTTATTATTGTTAGTACTGTTCATATACAGTATTTAAATTTTTCTATAATAAAAGTTGTTTAAACAAGGACTAAAATTTTCTCTGTGCTTTGTCTGAGTTGGTCTGTAAGAATTAGAATGCCCAGCTAATAGTGATGAAAATGGTAATAGATATATCTCTTTTTAAAGAATTGTTTATGAATACATGTGAATGCTTGTATGTATGTTCATGCACCACATGTGTGCCTGGTGTCCTCAGAGGCCAGAAGATGGCATTGGATCTCCTGCAAATAGAGTTACAAATGGTTGTAAGTCACTGTGTGAATGTCAGGGACTGGACTAGATCCTTTGCAAGAGCAGCAAGGGCATGTAACCACTGAGTCACCTTGTCCAACCCCAGTCAAACATACCCTAAAGTATTAGATGCACAGCAGTTGCCCATCTATGAGGATTAATTGCAGAGGTTAGGAAGTCATGAAAGGTAATGATTCATTACTATGTGATACTTTTAAATAACACGTAAACGTGTAACATTAGCAAACATAAAGGATTTGCTTGGAAAACTGCCCCTTTGAGAACAATAATTTTCAAGCCATAATTTGCATGGCAATTGTTCAAGATGTATCTTAACATTTTAGGTTCCTGAGCTTTGTCCACAAAAGTTTCTAATTCGGAGTATGAAAAGTAGAACCCTCGAGTTTAAAAAGCATCCTGAAGAATTCTGTTGTAGGTGATCTTTGAATACAACATTTGAAAACACTGTTTTTAAGGTCTCAAGTTTCTGGTCCCTAGGCAGTATCAGGAAACCAAATGAGTTATTAGATCCATGAATGGTGACTTGGTTTTTGTTGTGGGTTTTGGTTTTTTTTTTTTTTTTTTTTTTTTTTTTTTTTTTTTTTGTCCGTTGGTTTTTGTTCCTTAGACATTATCAGGAGACCCAAATAGACCTTTAAGTGGTTATTGCAGTGTGTTTTGTTTTGTTTGCATTTCGGCTACAAAGACTGAATTCCCTGGGAAAGTTAAAGGAGGGAAACGCCCTTTAATTCGGTGACTATAGGAGCAAAAGTATACAGATACAAAAGTATCTGGTCCCTGACCAGATAAGCAATCTGACTTTCACTTTGATGTCATTAAAGACATCTGATGCTCAGTACATTTGTATTCCAAATAAATTAGGGAATACAATTTAAGTGCAGGAGCTTCTGGAAGCTACCTCACTATGTACTTTTAAAATGCATTTCCTCAGGGCCAAGCTAGAAGCCTTCAAGGTGAACCTATTACTTTCCAGCCACAGTCATCACCACTGACCAGCAATATGCATACAACCAGTCCTACTTCTGAAGATGGAACGCTACAGAACAAAAGGAGAGCAGGTGTAGTGGTGACATTTGAAATGGAATCATTGATTTCTCACAATTTTATGTCTGGAGGGCACAATGCCAAAATTATAGATGAATATGTTTGTGCCTTTCCAAATTGTGGACATGTCAGAGTTTATTGAATTCACAAAGTTTAGTGATTTCTTTTTTTAATGATTAATTTAGTGTTTAGATGTATTAGTGTTTTGCCTGCATGTGTGTCTGTGTGAGGGTGT